TGATGACCCACCTTCTGCTAAAGCAGCTATTGACTGGTTTGATGGTATGTATGTGGAGGCTGGCAGGGGTGGGGGACAGGGTAACTAGCTTTGGGAAACGGCCTGTGTTTTGAGGATTTCTGTGAGTCTTCCAACACTCCTATTTGGGCGTGGTCTTATTTTTTCTTAGGTTTCATGAGATTGTAAACATTTACAAGAAGGCAGAGTCTTCTCTTGATTGTACCAAGTGTGTTTTTGGACCCACAGGTCTTAATAAAAAGTCTCTTTATACCTCCTTTATTTCTTTAGGTAAAGAATTCTCTGGGAATCCTATCAAGGTCTCATTTGCTACTCGGCGAGCAGACTTCAATCGAGGTGGTGGCAATGGTCGTGGAGGCCGAGGGCGAGGAGGTGAGGAGCTACTTCTGCTGGCGTAAGAGGTGATGGGGAGAGAAGGGAGGGAGGATGGTAAGGGTTTGCATGGGAGAGAAGGTTAGGTTAACCAAACTTGGAAGCGGAGCAGACCTATTCTTGTGTCTACACTAGGACCCATGGGCCGTGGAGGCTATGGAGGTGGTGGCAGTGGTGGCGGTGGCCGAGGAGGATTCCCCAGCGGTGGCGGTGGCGGTGGAGGACAGCAGCGAGCAGGGGACTGGAAGTGTCCTAATCCGTGAGTGAAACTTCTTTAATTCTTTTCTCAGCCCTCTTACACGTGTGCCCTTTGGTACTATGGTAGAGCTTGTGTTTTCTGACTAAGAGATGTCAAAGGTACACTTTGACAGGCTTGGCCAGGAGTCACCTAGGTGAGGTAGCTCTAGTGGGAAAGATATTGGACTGGGTTCAATAACCTGCAGTTTTTGTCTGGCTCACTCCTGAGAAACAAGCCCTTTTGCTTTTCCGAGGCCTCATTTTCCTCACGTATCCGTAAGGTAACTGGAGTGTTCGTAATTCTAGGTCTTGTCTTACCGCCCCCCGGCCCTGACTAATTGTCTTATTTTCCTCAGTACGTGTGAGAACATGAACTTCTCTTGGAGGAATGAATGCAACCAGTGTAAGGCCCCTAAACCAGATGGCCCAGGAGGGGGACCAGGAGGTTCTCATATGGGTAAGGAAGAGGCAGAGCTGGTGATATGGAGTTGGGATCAAAAGGAGGCTAGAGGAAAGGTAGGAGGAATTTGGGGGATGTGATACGGGGATATATCATATTTATTTTTTCCTAGGGGGAAACTATGGAGACGATCGTCGTGGTGGCAGAGGAGGCTATGATCGGGGCGGCTACCGAGGCCGAGGCGGGGACCGTGGGGGCTTCCGAGGGGGCCGGGGTGGTGGGGACAGAGGTGGCTTTGGCCCTGGCAAGATGGACTCCAGGTAAGTAAGACTCTAAATTGAAATGAAAGTAGAGCAGTTGAACAGAGGTCATGGGATTGCAAGGTTTTGGGACAGTGGTTTCATTTTGAGGGCTAGGTTGGAAAGCTGAGACTGTAACCATAGTGGGTAGGGAAGGAGGGAAGGAAGATTATCTGGGGGAGCTAATCTGTAGACTCCCACGTACTCTCTATACCTATAGGGAGATATGAGCTAGTTCTTGGGGTTGGGTAGCAGGGGCAGATAGGATTTCTGGGGTGGGGTGGGTAGAGAGGTTGGTAACTCAGACCTAATGGATACTTTTTCTTGCAGGGGTGAGCACAGACAGGATCGCAGGGAGAGGCCGTATTAGCCTGGCTCCTGAAGTTCTGGAGCAGCTTTCTTCCTGTACCCAGTGTTACCCTCATTATTTTGTAACCTTCCAACTCCTGATCACCCACGGGTTTTTTGTGTCGGACTATGTAATTGTAACCATATCTCTGGTTCCCATTAAAAACCATCATTTTAGTTAAATTTTCTTCCTCTTCCCCCTCTTCACTGTCCTGGAGCATTGATGTCCAGGTCAAGAATGTGGGGAGTTTTCCTCTTTCAGATCAACCTGCCTTGTGGGAACTGGAATAGTTTGTTTGTTCCTGCTTAGCAGGAACTGGAATAAAGTGTTTGATACTTGTTTCAGGGAGAAAAGGTCAAGTGTATCCTTGAAAGTAGAGATTAAACTTTTCTGTTATGGTAAAAACTAGATGAATGAAAGTGGTAAATGAGAAACATGTGGTGTGTTGGCCCAGAATTGTCCAACCATTTGGAAGTTTTTCTTTTACCATGTTTATTCACATGCTGGTTTTAGTGAGTTTATTATAGTAGTTCTGTTCTTTTTTTAAGGCCTCTTGGCTCTTCTGGCACTTTTCTGAGTGGGGTTCAAACAAATTAGGTTGCTTTGGGGGTGGTATTCAAGCTTGATCATGATTGGAGCACATAGTTACTAGCCAGTTGGGTGTTTTGAAGGAAGGAGAGTAACTGAGCACCTACTTAATGGCAGGTGTTCCGTGGCCTTGCTCAGTTCACGCCCAGTGCATGGGTGATGTGGCTCTCGTTTCTCAGGAAATGGTCGACCCCAGGATGGAGTCCCTGTCTGATCACTTCATTTTCATTTCTTGGCATTTCGTTCTGAAATCATTGTTCTGAAGGGGACAGACTCCTATCCCAAACGTTGTTTGCCTAGGCCTTAAGAGGATGCTGAATTTTAGGGAAAGAGACTTGGGAAGGAGAGGAGATGGTAAAGGGGGGAAGGTTAGCTGGGAAAGTAAGGTAGAGGCAGTTCTTTATCTTTCAGGGTGACCCCCCCCATTAGTTTTCCTGAAGGTGGGGCTTTGGTAGGTGTCTTTAGGGAGACAGTGGTCTAGCTGGGTCATGTTTACATTCTGCCTATACCCAAGAGGGCTGAGGTCATTGGTAATTTTGAGAAAGGCAAAGGTTGGGGCCGATGAGTTGAAACCTCAGACTCTAGTGCCTGTCAACCTTAACATGCCTTTCCTGACCCCAAAAATCTCCCCCCCCGCCTTTTTTCCAGCTCAAACTGAGTTTAGAAAACTTTGCCCATCCCTGCCAAGCAGTTGAATTTTAGTTATACAGAACTGAAAATTATAGCCAACAGCAACAGGCTTCTTTGCTGTCAGAAGCACAGCTCGTAGAGTGCCTGGGACCCCTGTGGGAAGTGCTTTTTCTCTTGGTTTAAAATTGTCAAGTATGCTGTAAGTGTTCTCTTCTTAGGAGTTGTTTCGTCTTCCAATCTCTGGTAACTTGAGACGGAAGCTGTGGCTTTGTCAAAAGGAATAGCTGCTTTATCCTCCCTACTGTGTGGAGGTGCTCTACCAAGAGTAGGTGGAGAATGGCTGAGCTGCCCCAGGCAGTGCTTTCCTTTGGCTTACTGAACTTGGTACGCTTGAGAAACCCTCAGAATTAGAGCCGAGGATATGGCATCGTTTCTCTCCCTGGTGTGTTCAGCTGCCTCTGCTTTCTTAACAGTGATGCTTGGTTTGAGTGGTACTATCCGTCTCTGAGAAGTTTATTATGTGTGCTTCACCTGGTAGGGTTCTGGTGTTAGGGTTTGGTTGTGGTTCCTTCATCCCTACTGCTAGCGGTGAAGGAGGTTGAAGCTCTGGGTGAGACCCAGTTACTGACTGGGACTGTTAGTATTTAGTTCTTGTCCTTTAAAGGGCTACAATGATTGGCTTTGCTCTTAAGTAAAAGAAAATAGAGTCTCAAGTGTCTAGTGGGTAGATCCAGTTTGGAGTCCTTTTCCAGGAGAAACGAATGGATGACGACAGAACTAGCAACAGAGGGAATGTTGTTGGTTCTGGTGCCAGCTTATCCATTGGCGAGAAAATAGGAGTGAGACCTCAAGGGGGTTGGACTTTGGGCCCTCTGCTCTTGGCTGCATTCCCTTGTAAGCACTAGGCCAGTAATAGCCAGTCATATTTCTCTGATGAGGACCTTAGGCTAGTCCTTAGAGATCTAAAGAATACATTATTACTGAATTATGGAAAATGGCCTGCAGTCTGGAAGCACTTAGGCGCCTGGCTTTTTGAATTGGGACAGGCTGACTAGGGAGAAGTGAGGAGGGTAGGTTGTGGTGGGGAGAAGTGTGCTGCGGGTCTGTTTGCTTCCACTGATTTAGTTCTCAGGCTTTTCACCTTTTCCCCATCACATGCTGGATTTCAGTAACTTGGATATAGGGCTGAGGTTAAGTCATTGCTGGGTCCAGCTCCTGTGAGACTCAACACATTAACATCTTTATTTAGGCATGTTGCTTCCCACTTCCAGTGTCCTGTCAGTCTTCCACCAGGGGTTTTGTAACCAGGTCTCACTCCCTCTACTAGTCTGTGAGAGGCTCAGCTCAGTGTGAGGTCCCATCTGCAGCCATTCCTCTCCAGTCCTTTCAGAACTCAGACTCCCTTTTCTGCCTTTGGGCCCTCAATACTTAGTCTCTTTCCTTTCATCTTTAACTTTTATTTTGAAATAATTCAGAGTTAGGTTTCCACAAAAATTATCTTGTTCAGCTTCCCATGCAGACGGTAATCTTCCTGGTGCTGGGGGTATTAAGAAACGAGGAAGTAGTGTCAAGTGGATCTTGCCAGCAGGTTTGACTTTTGGGCTTGTAGAAATTGTTTGGCCCTCAATCCTATGATGTTAGCAGTTAGAGCTTTAAGAGACCATTGAATTTAAAATTCCTAAATTTTTTTTTTTGTTTTTTTTTTTTTTTTGTGGTATGCGGGCCTCTCACTGTTGTGGCCTGTCGCATTGCGGAGCACAGGCTCCGGACGCGCAGGCTCAGCGGCCACGGCTCACGGGACCAGCCGCTC